TAAGTGACTTCCTTGAGGTATCCCTGACGTAGCTGGGTAAGTATAAGACTGACAATCACCAATGGTTACCATTAAGATATGAACCAGCCAAAGGCTGAAAATCTTTATAATAAAGGGAAAAAACGGTTACCATCAGATATGACCAAAACGTGGTCATCGATTAACTCTCATCAGAGAATATGATCGAAAACTTGTCTAAAAGCATGCCAATACACACTTAGAAATTATCGCCGACTTCGGTAATTTTTACCGAAATCTGAACAGCTGAACTTTTCGGTAAAATTTATGCAATTCAATTCAATTGCTTTTCAGCTACTTTGAAACTAAATCTCCACTAAAATGACAAGATTTGATCATTTAAACAAGGTTGAACATGTTTTGATATTATTTTCAAATTTAATAGCCTTCAAAATGAAGGTCAAAGTTTTACTGAACGTTCAGCTGTTCTGATTTCGGTCAAATTTACCGAACACGGAAACAAAATCTTAGTGTGTATAGACCTTCTGGGGGGGGGGGGGGGAACCTCCCCGTTCAACACCATTGACGATGGTAGGCTGGACTCGCTACGCTGCCCATTTACGTTATTTCAGAAGGACTTCGGTGTGCCTTGACTTTGCTCTGAATCCCACGTAGCGTGAATAGTATCGACGGCTAACTCAATTGGTGGTGTTTATTCACCGTACATTTTGCATTCTGGAGAGCAGCATCAAATGTATACAAGTAGTAGATATCAGGCAAACAATATGCAATTGTTTGTTTTAACCTTGCATCTTTCTATGACACAACCCAACCCAAGTAACAATCCAGTAACCATTTAGCATCCACTCTGATTTATGATGGTTTTATAACGACAATGAACAATCCAATTAGTTTAAATACAGCATTTCAAAGTGTGAAACATTCCTGCTTAGTAATTCAGCTTTTTGTTGTTGTAAAAACCTTTTATAGTCTTGCAAGAAAGTCAAAAACTGTCTTGTTTTAAAAATAAATTTAAAACAGTTATCAATCCCTCCTTAAAACTGTTCTGTAATTCAAGCATAAACGTCATTAGCAATTGTTTATTAATGTCTTGATAAAATACTTTATAAACGTGTTCTATCATTATAAAAGCAACCATAAAATCATTTGGTTTTGCATTAGAGCAAAAAGCCTTTATTGTTGCTTTTTAGGCTTTTTAAAGTGCATCATTAACTCCCCAATTACTCTGTTTACAAATTGAGCTTAAAAGATGTTTCCTCATAATTAATAAATGCCAATTTTATGACAAGAAAATCTCATAGAATAGACGAAGTAGGATGAAAAATTGAAGTCGATTTCAGAAAAATTTACTTCCTTAGAAGAATCAGCACACCATCAACGACTGACCATCTGGCGGAGAAGAGTAAACTGAGCGGTGCCATAAAACATTGTCGAAAGTTAAAACACATACCAGCCTTCTCCAGATCTTGCGAAGTATCAACCGACAGCAAACCACTGAAACTGTTCGTAAGCGGAGATCAGCTGGTTTCCGATCCATAGCAGCGATTTTAGAATCAAATCTTCGAAAATTTCATTCAAGCGTACATCCCTGCATCGTTGGATGGTGCACTTCTGTAACCATCTGGAAGAAGGGGATCTTTTTCGGGAACGATTGCACTTCCAGCTGTTCGACATGCGAAATGTTGTAAAACAGTATCGCAAACTATCTGAGTAACTGCTTCCAATCCATCGGGAGAAAACCGCCTGGAAGAATCCTGGATCTCACAGCGCAACTATCGAAAGATAAACAAACTTTGACGTTTAACTTTTTGCAGGCAACTTTGCCTCCATAAATGCTGCCATAAATCGGAACGGGTTAGGATCACGCAAAATGGCTTTAGATAAATACAATTCAGCCTGCAAGTTTTCTTCATAAAAGTCATTTTAAACCCTTATTAATTTGTCAAGGAATTCTCGAAAGAAAAACAACTTTTTCACAAATGACCCATGAAAATCAACTTTTATGCCACCGCCATGTTACAATTAGTTTGCTTGTTTTTTACAATCTTTGATTTTCAATCAATATTTTCTTAGATATAACTATATTTTGGTAAATTTAGCAATGAGCAAACATTTAAATGCGAAAATAATAAAAAGAAAGTCTCGGCCAAGCTCGATCTGAAGAATATATTTTTTTTTTTCTATGTTAAATAATTAGTCAAATCGACGTTTTACGAGGGTGGACTTATTTTTTTCGATGTTTTCACGTACATTTCACATAAAATTTAATATGGCACTTAAAACTAGGCCACTTAATGAGAACTATTGTAATAAATTTGGATATTCAAAAAGATTTTTATACCATCAGTTTCTATTTTCATTATTTTGATAAGATCGGATTCATAAATCCTTTTCTATCTTGATTGATGCTTTCCTAGTGGATTCAGCATGCGGCTAGGGGAAATGGCTCGGAAAGGGTTTTTATTGTTGCTAAATAGCTTTTATTGTAGCTTTCAAATGGTTATCAATGCGTTCGTCATACAACCTTTTGCAGTAGACCAATCTTGAAGAGCTTCGAGAATACACCCTTCAGAACCTTCTCCAGGGTGGGCCAACTAGACATATTCTAGTCCTAATGAGGTTTTGGTGGATGCATTAATGACAAAATAGCCTTGACCAGGGTTTTATGAATGTTGTTTTATAGTTGCTTTGTAGTATTTCATAAAACTTAAAATGTTACTTGGGAAGTAACAATTCAGTAACCATTTGGCACCCACTCTGATTTATTATGGTTTTATGACGGCAATGAACAAACCATTTAGTATAAATACAGCATTTTAAAGTGTAAAACGTTCCTGCTTAGTAATTCAGCTTTTTGCTGTTTTAAAAACCTTTTAAAGCTGGCAGGAAAGTCAAAAGCTGTCTTGTTTTATTTTACAAATAAATTTAAAACAGGAGGGATTGATCCTTAAAACTGCTCTGTAATTCAAGCATAAAGGTCATTAGCAATTGTTTATTAATGTCTTGATAAAATACTTTATAAACGTGTTCTATCATTATAAAAACAACCAAAAACCATTAGATTTTGCATTAGAGCAAAAAGCATTTATTGTTGCTTTTTAGGCTTTTTAAAGTGCATCATAAACTCCCCAATTACTCTGTTTACAAATTGAGCTTAAAAGATGATTCCTCATAGTTAATAAAAGCCAAATTTATGACAAGGAAATCTCGAAGGATAGGCGAAGTAGGATGAAAAATTCAAGTCGATTTCAGTAAAATTTACTTCTTTAGAAGAACCAGCACACCATCAACGACTGACCATCTGCCGGAGAAGAGCAAACTGAGCGGGCCCCTCGAATTCATAAAACATTGTCGAATGTTTAAATACATACCAGCCTTCTCCAGATCTTGCGAATAGATGACAATCGAAATAACAACCGACAGCAAACCACTGAAACTGTTAGTTAGCAGAGATTAGCTGGTTTCCGATCCATAGCAGCGATTTTATTCGGCGAAAGAATCAACTCTTCGAAAATTTCATTCAAGCGTACATCTCTGCATCGTTGGATGGTGCACTTCTGTACCATTCGGAAGAAGGGGATCTTTTTCGGTTCGAAATACGAAATGTTGCAAAACAGTATCGCAAACTATCTGAGTAACTGCTCCCAATCCATCGGAGAAAACTGCCTGGAAGAACCCTGGATCGCACAGCGCAACTAAAAATCGAAAGATAAACAAACTTTGACATTTAACTTTTTGCATACAACTTTGCCTCCATAAATGCTGCCATAAATCTGAATGGGTTAGGATCAAGCAAAATGGCTTTACATAAATACAATTCAGGCTGCAAGTTTTCTTCATAAAAGCCATTTTAAAACCTTATGAATTTGTTAAGGATTTCTTGAAAGCAAAACAACTTTTTCACAAATGACCCACGCAAATCCACTTTTATGCCACCGCCATGTTACAATTAGTTTGCTTGTTTTTTTTTACAATCTTCGATTTTAAATCTATATTTCCTTGAATATAACTATATTTTGGTAAATTTAGCAATGAGCAAACATTTAAATGCGAAAATCATAAAAAAAATCTCGGCCTACCTCGATCTGAAGAATTTTTTTTTTTTTCAATGTAAAATAATTAGTCAAATCGACGTTTTACGAGGGCGGACGTATTTTTTTTTTTTCGATGTTTTCACGTATATTTCACATAACATTTAATAAGGCACTTAAAACTAGGCCACTTAATGAGAACTATTGTGATAAATTTGAATATTCAACAAGATTTTTATACCATCAGTTTCTATTTTAATTATTTTGATAAGATTCATATATCCTTTTCTATCTTGATTAATTCTTTCCTAGTGGATTTAGCAAGCGGCTAGGGGAAATAGCTCGGAAAGGGTTTTTATTGTTGCTAAATAGCTTTTGTTGTAGCTTTCAAATGGTTCTCAATGCGTTCGTCATACAACCTTTTGCAGTAAATCAATCTTGAAGAGCTTCGAGAATACACCCTTCAGAACCTTCTCCAGGGTGTGCCAACTAGGCATATTCAAGTCTTAATGAGGTTTTGATGGATGCATTAATGACAAAATAGCCTTGACCAGGGTTTTATGAATGTTGATTTATAGTTGCTTTGTAGTATTTCATAAAAATTAAAATGTTACTTGGGAAGAAATTCGAAAGATGAAAGTAGAACCTATTGTAAATAGTACCCTGTGTTCCCCAACTGCGTTCAATTGAAAATTTCTACTCAAATTTATACACAAGGATCTACTATCTACCAAGTGGTCAAAATCTGACTTGAGTCAAATTTCATGATGCGGTATATGAAATACATATTTTAAAGACATGAAATAATGAATTAGACTTAATTAAGATCTGATCATACGCTCGTAGATGGTTAAGCCCCCTCCTTCCCACCCAATCCTTCCAAAACATCACCCATTCACCCAACACCGCCGCGAAGATTTTCCTCAGTTTGTTCTAGTTTGCTCCACACCTTTCTCTATCTATCTATCTATATATCCCATTATTCTGCAGGTAACGCATTCATAGTGAACATAGCGCTCGCAGATTTACTAATCACTAGCGTAGTGATGCCAGCGTCCACCATTGTGCTCCTCGCTGGCATTGACAATTCGGACACGGAAGTATGCAAATTTCAGTGGTTTCTAGCTGCTTGCTCGTTTTTGGTTAGCATTTTAACCCTAGCAGTAAGTATTGGGATATGAAACTGAAGAACATCAAAAGATAAGCACATGCTATTGCTATAGCAAAGCACAAGTAGCTTGATTGTGTGTGTGTATGTGTATGTAGCATTGATTTAATGTTGTAGTATGTATTCCTTAGAATGAAAGTAGTAACTTGTAAATGACTGCTTGGTAGTGATTGGTAGAACTGCATGATTAGATTAAAAGCTCAGTCGATTCTCTTGAAAAGGTAAGAAAATGTTGAATGACTAAAATTGTACATACTCACAATGTTAGATTAGTACAAAACAAATGATGGGGCATTTGAAAGTGACTAAATGTGCTTTCGATGTGTGAAAATTGTGTGTATCCAATCGTTCATACCATTCCTATGCTATTTTCAGATAATGGCCATCGAAAACTACCTAAGGCTGTGTACGGCCCAGAATGAACGAAGCTGGTTTAGCAAAACGAGCGTGACCGTGATTCTACTGTTAATCTGGATCATCGCAAGTTTATTCTCCGGGATGCAGTTCATGTACGACATCGACTTTGACTATTGCGACCAAAAGTCGAAGCACATAGTGCCGTTGGAAGCCGGGTGGATTGGTCTTATGGTGCTGCTTCCGCTGTTGCTATCATTACTCACCCACATCCGAATCATCGTTGACGTGAAACGCAACATGAGCCTACCGAACTTCAAGCCAAGCCTGGCCTACACGTGGGACCTCTCGTTGGTCCGCACCAACTTCTACAGCTTCCTCATATTCGTCGTATTTTGGTTACCATTCTGTGCCATCTTGGCGTACGGGACCACCAAAAGTGTATCGAACCGGGTGTTCTACAACACAGCCTGGATTGGCCTATCCAAGTCTTGCTTCCACAATGTGATCTACTGTCTGACCAATCGTCACTTTCGCAGTGCGTACATTAGCCTGTTCAACTATTGCTGTTGCAAGACGACGGTGGCCGTATCGAGACGCCAACGGACCGATGGCAACCGACCGACGGCGGACGTACGGGTACACATCATCCCCGGATATAACATGTACACCAGCCCACAGCGGGCCGGCAACAGCCACGGACACTGGGGAAAGCGTGAGTGCCATGAATTATGATCGGAAATGTAGCTAAATTGATCGAGAACGAGGAACGGTTTCGATTAATTTACGCCGCCGTGAATTTGAACACAAAACTCTCGTCAGCAGCGGAAAGCCGCGTTTTTCGTTGTTGATTCAGCACAAAGACAAACATCAGAAAACAAGCATTCAACTGAAATTTGAAACGGGTTTCTGAGTGGCTGCCGTTAGGGACCTATGTACTATCCACCATCGAGCGTCGTCGGGTCGGATGTTGATATGCTTTGGAAATTGGTTGTGGGGCTTGATGTTTAACTGGACTGGCATTATTAATTGATTAACCTGGGATGTGATTGTGTTTGAATTGAACTTTTTCTCCTTAACGTATTGGCCCTTCTGTTGTAAAATATTTACCCTCCTATTCTAAACAATCATGTTTATTTTCAATCCAAGGCACAGTGGTCCAGGATGAGAATTTAGCAAGACAAAAGTGATAGTGCTTTTGTCTTAAGTTTTAGACATTTGGTGCCTTCGGTATACTTTTTCTACTTTTTCTGCTTCTTTTTGCCTTTTTTTTTTAAATTAAGGTGGTCCTCAAATTAATTGTTACTCTAAAACTAACTTCTTTATTTTTGAAAATAGAGACCCTTAATATTGAACAAACCTGTAGCTAAGATGATTTCAAGCTACTTTTTTATCTCTTAACGTCCTCATTTAGGAGAACTTTTCCTAAAATGACTTATGCCTTGTTTAGACCAGTACTATCCGGGTAAATTTAGAGTTGCTGGCTGGCTAATTTTTCATTTGTGCGCCTCCGTCCAACTTAAATTTATGCGCTCCTTAATGTAATTTAGGGATGTTAACACAATTTATTTGGACCTCCCTTAGCTCAGTCGGTAAAGGCACAGCTACAAAGCAAGACCATGCTGAAGGTGGCAGGGTTCGATTCCCGGTCCGGTCTAGGAATTTTCCGGGTTGGTAAATTTCTCGACTTCCCTGGGCATAGAAGTATGATTTTACTTGCCACACAATTATACTAATGATAAAAAGGGAACAGGCATCAAAAGCTCTCAATTAGTAACTGTGGAAGTGCATCTAGAACACTAAGTTGAGAGCACGCAATAAGCTAATATACCATACGCAATAAGCTTGAAATGCGAGGAAGAAGAAGAAGAACACAATTTATTTCCCTCTAACTAAAATTAGGGTACGAGTACTGGCTAATTTTTCGGGTATTGGCTTTTCAGTGAACGGTGAATCTAAACGGTACGATGTTTATGTCTGATGTTTCAGTCCTGCAATTAATTAATGGAACTCCTCGGACGTTCTTTGATCTTGCATCAAGTAATTGGAAAATGCCTGAAAATAATTAAATTACTCTAAAATTTCAAAACATCACTGATTTTCTTTATATTTCCCTGAAGATTTTGGAACTGAACAGACGAACCAGTCTAAGGCTGAAAGTCTCTCTGAATTTCTTGGACCTTCTGTTAAGTGTAAAAGCAAATTTCCCTGAAGTTAATTGAGCACCTTGAGGTTTTCTGATTTTCCCTAATGAAGCTACCCGGAAGCTCTTGCAATTCTCCTGAAGTTTTTGGTACTTTCCTTAAGTGAATGGAACTGTCCTAAAAATCATGAAACTTCCCTGAAAATCTCTGGAATTCCATAATGTTGCCAAAATATTTTTGAAGTTTTCTTAACTTCAAAAGAGCTGTCTTGAATTTATCGAAACTAACTTCTCCAAAAGTCTGGACTTTCCTGCTAAATCTATTGGGACTGCTCTTGAGATATCTGAGCTTTTCTGAAGATCTATAGACGTAGCTTCTCTGAAGTTTTGACTTCCGTTAAGATCTCTGGATAAAAGTCCCTGCTTCATCTTCTTTTGTTTCGTATTCGCATTTCAAGCTTATTGCTTAGTGCATAATAGCTTATTGCGCTCTCAACTTACTGTTCTCAATGCACTTCCACAGTTATTAATTGAGAGCTTTCGATGCGAATACCAATGCATGAATATGTATATTGTGTGGCGAGCACAATGATACTCTATGCCCAGGGAAGTCGAGAAAATTTCCAACCCGAAAGATTCCCTCGATCATACCGGGAATCGAACCCGCCGATCCCCTTGAAATATGCCTCAGGGATTTCAAGAAATTTTCGTCAGATTTGCTTTAGAATTTGCCATAGAATTCAACAGGATCTCGCTTCACAATCGTTATGGAATTTTAAATCTAACTGACTTTAAATTCTCCGTTGGACCTTCTTTCAGAATGCCGTTGAGGATATTAAGTCAGAATTATCTCAAGTAAATATCCTCATTCTTCGAGTCCTTGGAATTCCCCTCTGTGTTATTTTGGAACTATGCATAGAATTTGCATTAAATTCTCCTCTAATATAATGAGAGAGAGAAGGATTAGTAATTTCCATTTAATTCCACTACCTTATTTGCTGGTCCTTGACAGATACGCGTATTTTGCTTACAGTGTGCAGAATTCTTCAGTGTCTTGTACTAATACTCGACTAGTATTAGTACAAGACACTGAAGAAGTCTGCACATTGTAGACGAAATACGCTTATCTGTCAAGGATAAGCAAATAAGGTAGTGAAATTAAATGGAAATTACTTATCCTTCTCTCTCTCTCTCTCATTATACAGGGATTCCACTAAGACGCCCACATTCATCAGGATTCTCCTCTAAACTTTTTTTTTTAATTCTCCACAATGATTTTCTATTTCTGCCAAGTTAAAAATTTCTTAAACTTAAAACTATTTCAAAGTATAATCTTTCGCGGTCAGTCGAGTGACATGAGAATAATTTAATTTCAATTCTGAAGAGAATTCAAAAGGAGTTCAGAGGTTATTACAAAAGGAATTCTGAGTATAGTTTCATGGGAATTCAATCAAGAAAATTCCAAGGGAATGCTGTAGAGAATTCCAATCTAATTTTCGGAGAATACTTAAGGAATTCTGAGGATAATATCAAATTTTGATGTGAATTCAGAGAAAGGCTCTTCGTTCCTGAAAATCATGTTATGACTCAGAGTTAAATCGAATTATTAATCTGCAACGTATTTTTTGAAACGTTTGGCTTCAGATATCCCAATCAGTTAAGTTACGATATCAGTTAATAATTACGATATTACCAAGTCGGAAGCGGTGGATTCGATTCCCGGTCCTGTCTATTAAATCTTTCGATTTAAAAATTGTCTCCACTTCCCTGGGCATAGAAAATCATTGTGCTTACCACACAATATACAAATTAATTTATTGTCATTGGTTGGCCGGATATGGAAATCTCTCAATTAATAACTGTGGAAGTGCTTCAAAGAACACTAACTTGAAAGATTTTTGGATCGTGTTATTCCGGCAGCTAAACTGAACCACAAAATTTTCCAAAGCATAACATTATCTAGCGTGAAGTAAATATGATTCAAATTATTAAAAAAAAACTGCTAAAGTAAATACAAACCAGACAAAACAAATGACCATCCACGAAAATATAGAAAATTCTATGTAGAGTATAATGTGTAACACTAATACACAACAACAACAACAATAAAAAAAAACACAAAGTACATTTTATGGAGACCAAATCAACGAAGTTACTAAAAAGCAACTACTAAAAGAGTTTGAAGGAAACTTATCAAACCTACTGAAATTAGTCAAAGCGTTAGCAACAAAGTTGAGTATTCGATGTCCGTCACGTAAATGGAACCCAAGTATAGTAAATGGTCGTGTAGACGTTTTTGTAACAGAGTGAACAAAGTGATGACAAACTAAGAAACAAACAAAAAAAGAGTAAATGTTTTGATGTAGCATAAAACTATCGGGTTAAAAAGAGAAGAAACTTCGATTATACGTTGCACTATTATGGCTAAGGTTCGGTTGAATTCATGGTGAAACAAATTGACACAAGTACTTGGAAATTGAAAAACTCTAAAACAAAACCTTAACAACAACGTATTTCAACTTGAAACTTGAAAATTTGTCTGCAGTGGAAAATTAACTAACTCAAATATTTATTATTTGTAAAAATTAGGGGATTTGATTGAACATTATAAAGTATTCAAAGTTTTCTACGTAGTTGGCAAAACCGTTAACAATTAATCAAACTCAAGAGGTCTTCGAACTGTCAAATTCCTTGAAGATCCAGGATTTTACAGAACTCGTAATTCTATGCAGCTTCCAGAACATAATTTTAACATAAACATAAAATCTTTTTAAGATTCAAGATCGTAGAATTTAGGTTATTTCTCAATGTCCATGATCTCATAAGTCTCAGATATTTATAAAAAAAAATCCCAGTTCAAGAATCATGAATATTTCCCCGAAGGCTGGGACCAGGTTGAATGCAAAGAAAAATACTCAAGATGTTGAACTTGAAAAAAACAAATTAATGCCATCTGGCATTGTGCATAGTTTTCAAGAGATTGATTATTAGAATTTCGGACGAATTTTGGGAGATAATTACACGAAGCAGTTCTATCAACAATTAATACGAAACTATCGATTTGAAATTGGCTCACTACTTGACTAGCCTATTGGTCCCAAGCAAATCGATTAACGTACCCTATTATAGATAAAATTCTAGTACTACACAATGTTTGTTTTGATTCACTATGAAAGTTTGACGGATAAAATGAGGGGTTATTGAATTTTCCTATGTTGCGAGGGGTGAATCGATTAGCTTGGGACCGAAGATAGTACCAGAGCTGAGCCAATAAGTTGAGCACGTTTCTTTGGGACCTACTAGTCTTAGAGTTACCTCTATGGTTCTATGGACTTCGGAGGGGTCGGCGCAGGTGGTGTAGTGGTAAGCGTGACTGCTTTCTCATCCCAATGGGTCTGGGTTCAATCCCAGCCGAGGTCGGTTGCGATTTTTCTGAGGCATATAAATCTCTGGTCACGTCTTCCTTTGGGAAGGGAAGTAAATCCGTTGGTCCCGGCCCATGTGTTGTTGAATGGGTGCGATATCCTACGCAGGTGTGGAAGCTGCCTGCCTTCAATGGATGGCAATCGATGTCCGTCGGTGATTGGCACTAGATTGCAGAACAGTGACCGACGTTAAATAAAGGAATGAAGAAGAAGACCAAGAAGAAGAAGAAGAAGAAGAAGACTTCCGAGGGGAATTCCAAGGGAAGGGAATTTTGAGAAGAACTTCACATGAAATCTTTGGATTACTTTCATGGCAGTTTTTAGTAGAGTCAAAAAGGCAACTATGAGGACATCCTCAATCCAAAGGAATCCAATGCAGTTCTGAGCGGATTTCAAAGGGTGGTCTTGGAAGAATTCTATAATACTTCCCTACTACTACTACTACTACTACTACTACTACTACTACTTGTTATTAGAC